GTTTTTTACAATTACATATAAGGGAAGCAAGTTTTCATGTCCCAAGATAACCTTTCATTAATCATGAATTTACATAACTTCTGTCCAGCTAGTATATAGATATATTGTAGGCGTAACATCTCATTCGTCCAACATGGAGCTATATATATTGTAGCACTGCTAATCGTGATAAAGCTTTCATTTTCTTTTTCTCGCAAAATCGTGAATTAAAATAAAAAGATGTAGCACTGCTAATCGTGATAAAGCTTTCCTTTTCTTTTTCTCGCAAAATCGTGAATTAAAATAAAAAGATGTAGCACTGCTAATCATGATAAAGCTTTCCTTTTCTTTTTCTCGCAAAATCGTGAATTAATATAAAAAGATGTAGCACTTCTAATCGTGATAAAGCTTTCTTTTTTCTTTCTCGCAAAATCGTGAATTAAAATAAAGAGATGTAACACTGCCAATCGTGATAAAGCTTTCCTTTTCTTTTTCTCGCAAAATCGTAAATTAAAAAAAAAGATGTAGTACTGCTAATCGTGATAAAGCTTTCCTTTTCTTTTTCTCGCAAAATCGTAAATTAAAAAAAAAACATTCCTACAGCTTGTTCTTCATAATTTCAGACACTTTTTGTTACAATATATTTTTAATCCATACACATAACTTTCCAGATTATTTCAAATAACAACAGGTATGCTAATCCTTAATATATTCTTAACATGCGTCATTCAGACATAAGTAAAAAAATGTTTTTCTTTTAAAAACTGCCTTCGAATACGCTCGTAACGCAGAGAAATATAACAAAAATCGTCTGTTAAATTCAACAATAAAAAACGTTGTAAATACAATTCACGAATATATGAAATCTCTTAAATTGAAAGTAACGACCAAAATTTGACTGGCAAATTTTAAAGCAAATACCAAACGGGAAGATTGTGAATTCTTTAGGTCTACTTTTAAAATATTTTTGCAATTTTTGGAGCCAACAAAATTAAAAGCTCAGTTGAGTTTTGATTTTTTGAAGAGTAAAAAACCGGGTAGCGGGTTTGAGTTTCATGTTACTGTCAGTTTGCTGTTTTAGTGTTCAAAAGTTTTTTGTTTTTTTTTCTCAAACTGCCATATTTGCTTATATTTTTTTAGTCGGAAAACAAGAATAAATCCCAATTGCAGCTGCTGTAATTAGATCTCAAATCGACCACGAGATGGAGTTACGAGCTAAAAGTTTGTACTTGGAAAAACTCTGGGCCTTTCTATGCGGCTCATAGAATACCGCGGTTAAAAAGTATGATTATAACATTAATATTATAAAATTCATTGAAAATTGTGAAAAATCTAAGTTGTCAAAACACCTTAATGTTAAAACTATTACCACAGGCTTACATTCTGCAGCATTATTTATATATAAATATAAACTATAATGCTCATGCTGCACTTCAGGAACAAACGTTATCGTCGCGAAGCTGAAGTCAACTTACTTGTGGAAGACCAGCACCATCTCTTGGTGTAATCGTAGCTTCTCCAATTCCACTGTCAGGGGAAGGAAGGTCAACGGTTAACCCATGCAAGCCTGTTTTGTAGCTGCTGTTCTGACGTATGTATCGGTCAACAAAGGCTACGTTTTCGACAGTGTCAGAGTATGAAGCAATATGTTGACGACCGGTTTGACACTGTTCCGTAACCGGAGAACCAACATAAGCATACAAATCTTTGTAGTAATCCGTAGCGGTCAGTGTATAAACAGTGGACCCTGATGTCCGGCTGGTCAGGGAACTCTGGGCGATGTACTGTGGCACGGTGACCACAGCATTGGCAAGGACACTATATTGTCCGACACCTAGAGGCTCATAACCGGACTGCGACGACGGAACATCAGGAAACACCTGTACAAATAAGAGATAGCTATAGTTTTAACAAATATATAGGGAAAACCTGTAAAAATAAGAGATAGCTATAGTTTTAACAAATATAGAGAAACACCTGTAAAAATAAGAGATAGCTATAGTTTTAACAAATATAGAGAAACACCTGTAAAAATAAGAGATAGCTATAGTTTTAACAAATATAGAAAAACACCTGTAAAAATAAGAGATAGCTATAGTTTTAACGAATATAGCACTTTAAGTTTATTCCAAGCATGTCTTCTAAAGAAACAATATTGTAAGAAATACAGTGTGATGATGTTAGAGCGAAGAAAACAAACGACAAAGTTTGTAGTTTGCTCTTGTGTCTCTATATTTTTCTTTATGTTATGGAAATGACTAAAATTGTTAAACAGCAAAAACGTTCATTATAAATGTTTGCGTAACGTAAAGTAATACACGATTTCATCCAAAGATAATTAAATTATTCATCATATCAATAGAAGCTTCTGTTTGTTTTTTAATTTCGCGCAAAGCTACACGAGGGCTATCTGCGCTAGCCGTCCCTAATTTAGCAGTGTAAGACTAGAGGGAAGGCAGCTAGTCATCACCACCCACCGCCAACTCTTGGGCTACTATTTTACCAACGAATAGTGGGATTGACCGTCACATTATAACACCCCCACAGTTGAAAGGGCGAGTATGTTTGGTGTGACGGGGATTCGAACCCGCGACCCCCAGATTGCGATTCGAGCTCCCTAACCACCTGGCCATGCCCCATATCAATTGAACTAAATAAATGTAAAACGAACAAAAGAGGAATAATGTGTGATTTCATTTTCAGAAACATTCAATATTCTGTTTTGCGATAGTAGTAATCTAGAATTATGTGCACTTAAGAAAAAATCAAGTTAATAAGAAATAGAAAAAACAACCTTTAATTATTACAAAAAAAACCTTTGAAATTATTTAAAAGTATTTTTTTTATGTGCCGTAAATTACACACTAGAGAACAAACGTGCTCACTGACCTGAGCCGAACTATACGACTGTGCTACGCTGGCTGCAGCCTGTAAGGGTATCACTGTGGCGCTCTGGGGTTGGGGAGTTCCAGTCTGAATTTCTCGAGCTTTGCTAAGATCCGGAGAGCTTCCCCCTGTGACCGTCACCAAATCGATTGCTTGACCGGGGGACTTGAGTTCGGGAATTTGAGAGTTCACGGTCAGAGGTGAGGGATTCTCTTGCTTCACCTGCACTACTACTGGAATTGCGGTACTAGTCTGATTCGAAGGAGGATCTCCTGGAGAGAGGGCGCTGTCCCCATTGGGTAAAGATGAAATTAGTGAAGGGGTAACAGATTTCACCGGATCATGCTTGTTGGAGTCAGGAGAATCCGATTTGCTTCCATTCACCAACGGAAGAGTACTAGTCAGTTCTTCAGGTTCTCGTTTGACAGAGACATTGTTCAGATAGATATCCATTTCTTCAGCTCTTGTGCCTGACGTAAGGGTACTCGCCACGACCGACGTCACAGTTTTCATATGTGGCCTTGGATGTGGCTGTTGTGCTGAGTGATGAATGGTGGGAGCTATGGTGGTAGTTCCTATGGGCGATGTCACAGCAGTGCTAAAAAATATTTTGTAACCATATTCAAAATGCGGTATCGACAAACTTCACACTAAATGTCAAAGTATGAAGAATTCTATTGTTTCCTTAGCTCAAATCTTAATAAAAAAGGCGTGATTGATGCTATTTCTACAATATATACAAAGCCATTTTAATATATTTATAATATTATTCAAACATCCTTTTAATTCTAATGTTAATATTTTAAACTAAAACTGAAATATATCAACAAACAAACATGTGAAACTCTTAGCATTTTTATAAGTTACTCAAAGATTATGTTGAAAGCAAAGTGAAAATATTCTTGAAAGTAACTCCAATATTTATGCATTTTAAACATTATCTGCTTAAACACTAAGTATATGTCCAACAGGACATACATTAATTCAAATTACTATTATACAATCAGAATTAAAATATGTATATCCTACACTGCTTAATCTCCAGTATTATATATTCCATCATACATCATGCATTAAGGATTTTTACTATATTTTATAAACACTAAATTATCTTTTACAGGCAAAAGTACCCGTCCCCAGTGACGGAAAAAGTTTAAGTTGATCTATCAATTTCAGTTACTTCATGGACTTTAAAAGTGTTAATTGTGTTGCACCTTTGGTTTCATTAGAGCCAAAGCTCTGAGCTACTTATATCGGTCACCGCAAAAATTATTTATAGAGCATTTCAGTCATGTTAAAGAGCCACTCAACAATAATATACGGTAAATCTACATTTTTATTCTTTAAGTTACGTCATATTTTGAAATGTGAATGAGAGTGGGATTCATTTATAACAATTTAGTGTATAATATCCAGCTTCCGAAATCAAATTTGGCATCACAATTATTCATGTCTACTCTCCTGTCATTTGAAAAGTGAAAGTCGAGCTTTGCCTGCGTGCGCAACCTTTCAAACGGGAGACAGACGAACGCTCAGACAGACCCCACGGTTCGCAATATATATAATATCATGTTTACTTTCATAAAACAATAATGTCGCTTACATTGCTTGTACCCAGTTCCAAACATTGTATTGTACTCTACTGTTTACATTCAAAACACAGACACTATATTATCTTCTACTCTGTTTACATTCAAAATACAGATACTATACTATCTTCTACTCTGTTTACATTCAAAACACAGACACTATACTATCTTCTACTCTGTTTACATTCAAAACACAGACACTATACTATCTTCTACTCTGTTTACATTCAAAATACAGACACTATACTATCTTCTACTCTCTTTACATTCAAAACACAGACACTATACTATCTTCTACTCTGTTTACATTCAAAACACAGACACTATACTATCTTCTACTCTGTTTACATGCAAAACACAGACACTATAATATTTTCTGCTCTGTTTACATGCAAAATACAGACACTATACTATATTCTACTATGTTTACATTCAAAACACAGACACTATACTATCTTCTGCTCTGTTTAAATTTAAAATGCAGACAATATACCATTTTCTGCTCTGTTTACATTCAAAATACAGACAATATACTATCTTCTACTCTGTTTACTTTCAAAACACAGACACTGTACTATCTTCTACTCTGTTTACATCCAAAACTCTATGTTTTACTGTTTCTACACTCATATTATAAACACTGGTATACCATCTTTACACATGTAACACAAAACAACACTATTTTCTGCAATGCTAAATTCCTAATACAACACTAGACTACCTCCATATTTCTGGTAGAGATGAGTACTTTTCCATTAGGGATTTGTCTCCCTTTTCCATTGGAGGAAGCTTGTAGTATTCATACAGTAGTCCTATATTTGAACTTTGTTCTTCACCCCCACCGCTAATGTTCAACATGGCTGTAGTTGCTGCTGTCAAAGGATGTTCGTAATACGCTCGCCAACCTTCGTCTCCTTCGGGCATATCCGACATGCGTTCGGATGTTGCCGACCTTGTTCGGACCAGCGCCTCCGTCACTTCCTCAGTCTCACTTTAAGAAACAATAATTTCTTAAATAAAATAGTAGAGGTACTCCATTATCATAAAAAGGTCATGAAATAAAAAAATAGTAAACGTTTTCAGTTCGAGATTTCCAGATCTTAGAAAAAAAATAACTGTCTTGAATTTTGAATTATTCTTCATATTCTGGAAAAAATGGACGAATTAAATAGAGTACAATACAACATGTGTTGACAATATTATTATGAAATAATGTATAATGTCGATTATTTATGTCATAGAAATTCCCAAAACATTATTACATATATATATAATTATATATATAAAACATGTATAGTAAGTTAGGTTCTTGGACAGTGACTGGTAAAAGTTTCAGGTGGACACTGACCACTAAAGGGCCAGGTATAGAAATTTACGTTCTTGGTCAGTGGCTGATAAAAGGTTGTAATGTATATTCAGTTGAACACTGATTATATCACATTAATTCCTTTCTTTTTTATGAGATCTTATCTTGGAACAAAAAAAAAACGGATTACATCTCTGCATTATTCAATGTGAATTGCCGTCCTATGTTATTCACATCATCTTATTACTTAATCATGCAATCATGCATATTATAATCCTCTAAGTTATAGATAGCGTGGATTTACATAACAAGTTAATCATTTTATTTTACTTCACACCAGTGATTTTTTTTTCACTTGTATGAAAAATTCATTTCCATGAATGTAAATGTTCCGATAGATAAGCTGAGAAATCCCAGATAAAGACTAATCTGGACACACCTGTCGATCCGACCTTCGTATTTCTAAACGATCAACAGAAATTAATAAAACAGGAAACTATGTCGCCCACCAGAGGGCGAGTGGTAGAGACAAGTGAGATCGTTAACACGATTGTCAGAAACAAGTCAGTCATGTACGAGGTGTGGGTCTATCATTAAGTAAAGATTAGTGAGAAATAAAATAATTTACTGTTTATTTGTTTCAGATATTCGAGCAAAGCTATACAAGGACTATCTGCGCTAGCCATCCCTACTTTTGAGTTGATAAATTAGAGGGAAGGCAGCTAGCTAGTCCATAGCACCTATATGCTGCCTACTCTTAGATTACTCTAATTGAATAATAGGATTAGATCGTTACTTTTATAACATATTTCATCAGCCTAGTCCATTCTACTGAAGCAAAACAATGACGAGAAACGATGATATAACAACAAGGCTGTTGTTATAGGAACTTATATTATATACTAAAAACGTTTTAAAACAGAAAAACAACGAAAAATACAGAAAAACGAGTTCCGACTCAACCAATCATCGCAATTTTTAAATAAAATCTGCGTTACGAAAATATCCAATAACGCTTATCTTGTAAGTAATTATCAACAACTTCTGATCACAGTTTGTTTTTGAATTTCGCGCAAAGCTACACGAGAGCTATCTGCGCTAGCCGTCCCTAATTTAGCAGTGTAAGACTAGAAGGCAGCTAGTCATCACCACCCACCGCCAACTCTTGGGCTACTCTTTTACCAACGAATAGTGGGACTGACCGTAACGTTATAACGCCCCCACGGCTGAAAGGGCGAGCATGTTTGGTGTCTCCCTAACCACCTGGCCATGCCCTGATCAAAATAAACTAACTCTATAGAACAGAACTAAAAAGTAACTTGAAACAAATAAATAAAACATACATACATAAAAGCATAAATACCCGGTTTCAGGGTTTATATAAATAAATTTAAATACCCGGTTTAGTGTCAATCCTAAATCTATGTACTAATGTAAGAGTACAAAATAATTTTCATAAATGTAAAATTTAATAACAATATTATTTAAAACCGTTTAGACATAACAAGTAATAAAATTAATGAAAACTAAATTAAAAAGGAGTATGTCGTTAGTTAACAGTATTAAGTTCGCATGTTTAAAAAAAACGAAACAACGAATCCCCACGTGACTAGGCATAGCCTAAAAATTATCCTATGGGGATAAGAATCGAATGGTCAGGACTATAGAATAGATTCCGCTGAACACGCTCTGCACTCCCTTCTATGAGCGCATCATAAAAAATAACAGGTAATCCCGTTATTCGGTTAAAATAGTCGGACAAGTATCTTCTGGTGTTAGCCTCTCCCTTGGTTAGTATTCAAAATAAGAAACGGCTATACTTGAACCGTAGGTGATCTTGGCCTGGCTGATTAAACCTATGTGCGCGTAGGTACCGCGTAGATTGAAAATTTCTTTTCAAAATAGGCTTAACGGGCTTAGAGTAAATGAATAATCAATAGAAAGCTATTCCAGAATACTGAAATAAATGCTGTATGTGAAAATATGTTGATTTTCAATAGAGTTTTAATGGTAAAAAATATTTTCAAAGAAAATATGCTCTTAAAAAAATTATTATATGATTTCTATGCCACTTTCAAATGCAGTATAAAATTGTGACCTATGCGTTGTATGAAACGTTGTATAATGATATTTAACCAAAACATGACTGATTATCCTTCAAAACATCGTTTAATAATTCTAAGTTAATTGTTCAAAAACACATCTCTCGTATTTAAGACAGTAGACGCAATCTGCGGGTCGCGGATTCGAATCTTCGTCACACCAAACATGCTCGCCCTTTCAGCCATGGAGGCGTTACAATGTGACGATCAATCCCATTATTCGTTAGTAAAAGAGTTGGCGGTGGGTGATGATGACTAACTGTCTTCCCTCTAGTCTTTCACTGCTAAATTAGGGACGGCAGATAGCCCTCGTTGAGCTTAGCACGAAATTCAAAACAAATCCAAAAACCCAAGACAGTAGAAAGTCAATATGAAATCTAATCTTGCGTCCTTTGCAAACATCTAAAAATCGTAAATTATGAGAGAGAAAAACAGGCAGGCCGACTGACTGACTCACCAAGCGAGCAGACAGGCAGATAGGTAGATAAAAACTAGTTTCAACAAGAACTAGTACACTCAGAGAGGGTTCAAAAACAAAACACTTATAAGACTAGTGGAGTATGTGAAATTCTACGTGTCTGATTATGTTCAATTCCCACCCCTACTTTTTCCAACAAGAGGTGGACTTTCCACGACATTTTCAGGGTCAGTTACAAATCCCGTAGAACCATTATTACCGGTGACCCGATCATTCCTTAATGTACCAACAATATTATCGTTTCCTACCAATAGATTAACTTTAAAGAGCAGTCAGTGATATTATGAATGTACTTCTAATAATATATCAATCAGATCTCTAAGTTTAAACACTAGGGGGAAAAAGGAATGGGTGAGTGTCAGTCAGAATTACTTTATGTTTCACAAATCACAAGAAATTGCTAAAACATGCTCTTGTATATGACATAATAGTACAACAAGGGAAGTTTAGGCTAGAATAATGTGAAGTACACATTATATTTTATTTATTTATTTTTTTGAAAGACAAATGTTGTAATATATATTGTGATATGATAAAAGTAACACTAAAAACATTAAATAATATTACATGGAAAGATGAACACATACATAAAATTACGTTGACTCTGTCAAGATAAAAACTTGTTGCCCCAACCCCAAAATATATGAAGAATTATAAATGTGATTTTCCCGTTTTCCAGTGTATGTGGAGAATCCGGGTTTCGATACCTGTGGTGGGCAGAGCACAGATAGCCCAATGTGTAGATTTGTGCTTAACTTCAAACAAACAAACAAACAAACCAGTGTATGTGGATCTCCTGTTTATAGTAAAAGACAATAAAAGCTCACGGAGGTTTTCAAGTATACATGTTTAATCTTCAACTTTTGGAATTAAATAGTAACACAGTAAGAAAAATATTAGGACAAAAGGGTCAAGATCTATGCTTAAAAGTGTTGCAAGAATGAAACTGTTAAAACAGTGTCTAAAATAGTGATAGTAACTTACCCCAATAACATGCAAGCATATGTTTCGTTTATTTGCTCCAATCTATTTTGGAGTATAGATTTTACTTTTGATACACAGATGTTCTTCGATACATTGTTTCAGTCCTCTGCCTTTGAAAAATTCACATTGCATTGAAAAAGATCTACAGAGTGTCCATTATTGTAACACAACGAAGAACTAAATCCAAAACAATCTAACATCTTCAGCTGAAAGGTGTATCAACTAAGTGATTTAGCATTACTACTCTCGTCAAATTATCTATCCAGCCAAATCAGGAGCGAGATATTATCAGAAGTTGATTACTTTCAGAAGAAAAAAAGTTTTGCTGAAATTCTTTTTTCTTTATATCTGTTCATCAATATTTTTTAGTCTGGTTCAATGACAAATTTTACAGCTCAGTGAACGTTGGATCTGGTTTTCAAGTCTCACTGAATCACTGTGATTAGCGCGCCACCTAGCCAGCGGATGAATCCACATTCTTCGTAGAAAAAAAAAGTGATTTTGTTCCTTTCGAGATATGCTTGCGCCAGGTCTACGTCATTGTATCCATGATACTAAACATGCAGCCAATCAGAGGGCATTAGGTATTAAGTAGTGATTTCGCCGTGCATAAAATCCTGTACTGAAACTAGCTGTTACGTATTCCCCAAATCATAAGAGTACATGACAAGAAAAGTACTTAATCCCGAATAATATCGCATTTAAAATAATTATATATATATATATATATATATTGTTCTTTGTTGGTTTCAACATTTCTACACAGAGCAAAAAAGTTGCAATTAAATACAGAAATATTTTAACAGTAATTATTAGTTTACTAAAGTATTCGTGCTAACATGTAACATTGGTTTAAAAATTTAACTACAGAACTATTTTTTTAAGAAAACATTCACTAGGGTTAATATTACAACCCAAAAAACAATATAGTACTTTATATAAATTGTTTGTACTCGTTTTTAAAAAAACAACGAATAAAAATTCTCGAAATATTCCGGATCATTTCTTGATTATGAGGATCCACCGGAGACCATTAGAGCATAGCACAATACTAACTTCAAAATACTAGATAAGTATTGGAGCATAGCACAATACTAACTCCAAAATACTAGACAAGCATT